AACGCATTTTTAAATAAAGCTCGATATTTCTAATTTTCTGTTTTTGAATTCACTAGAAAGTTAATTTTGTTATTTTCAAAAATTTTCACTGAATAATTTCTCTGCAAAACTTTTCTGAAACAACAGTTGAAAATATGTAGACAACTGTGGTCAACATATTAAATGAAAAATATTTTCCAACTCCCAGTTCTTAGTTTCCCAAAACTAGAATTCCAGACAGACAGGAGGATTACACAATAGTAGACTGTTTTTCAAAAAAGTGGAAAAAAGTTTTTCGAAGAGACGGCACAATGAAAATTTTTGCTGAAGCTACAGTAGGTAGATGCATAAAATTCAAATGCAGCATTTTTTAAAAAATGAATTAATATAAATTTATAATATTGGATCAAATGAAAATGAATTATTTGACCAAATTAACTTCATAATTGAATTTCAAGATAATTAAGTGCAAAAATAGCATTGCTGAACAAATCAATTAACAAAAGTTTACTCACTATAGTTTTATTACGAAAAAAATACAAAAATATATACATCATAAAGTTCTGAATATCATTCAAGGGACAAAAGCAGATCTACGTCAGCGTTCCAAAACTCATAATAAGAAAGAAAAAGATTAATTCGAGATAAAGAAAAAAAAGCCTAAGAAATAATAACTGCTCGAAAAATTGCTCAAGGTTCCCCAACCGAATTTCCAGTCGGCTGAATAACAACATGCTCACGTGCTGCTGACAGCATTTACTAGAAAGAGAGAACCAAATAAATATTTTCATTATGGAAATTGGTTTTCCATGTTGGTTTTCTAAACTGCTTCATACGACAATGAGAGTTTTCTGACCACGCTGGTATATTGTGAAATTCAAAATTAACAGAACAATCAAACAATAATAAAAAATTTCAGTTTTAAGGGGGTTCGAATTTAGATACCGTAAAATGGAATGTCTCGAAACCTAATGGAATGTCTCAAAACCGCCCACTTTGAGCTCATATATCTTATTTTGTGTGAAAGGTATCAAAAAGTGGTCAACTGAAAAAATGTTTATCTAAATAAAAAAGTATTTTCACAGTTGACCAATTTTTGAAAATTTTCACAGGATGCCCGATAGAGCAGCTCAAAGTTGAAAGTCGAAAAAGTCTTTTTATTAGTGTTTACGCTGACCTGATAAAGAATGAAAATGGTAACTCTGAAAAAATGCGAAGAAATTCTGGTGTGACGGTAAAGAAGAACAATTTTAATATTAGATGTTTCAAGACAACGCAATTCTGGAATTTTCTATCGTCTCCCCCATGTCCCAATAAATTTAGATATTAAATAAATACATCATCTATAATAGAAATTTTTACAAATCCTTTAATATGAAATCATTCTATAAATTTAGTCTCAAAGCTTTCGTATTTTTGACGATATGCAACGATTGAATGAGATCAAATTTTAAATAATAAGCACGTGCGAAAAAAAAACTTAAAATGGGATGCCTGAATTTTCTAGAATGGCACGACGACCGACGACGACGGCATCAAAGCTCAACACGTCTTTTTCTTTGCTAACATGATGATGTATGAACTCCAAGTTTGCTCACTTGAGACCATCAAAGGACTTCACATACATTAGCTTATTTGAAATATTTCATTGATCAAGGGGCAAGGGGACTTGGATAATTGAATTTTTAATACCATAGCTAGAATTGTTTTGCAGAACATTGCATTAAAGAATCCTAGAGAGTTCTAATGTTGAATATCTACATAGTTTGAAAGTTTTCAAATTATCGATTTTAGATTATGAAATTGTATCCTGTCATTTCGATCCCCAACAAATCATTTCCCGAAATCTGAGCTTTTGGTGGTCGCCATTTTTCGGTCGACAGGACATCCGATGCGCATGCTGGTATCTTCTTCTTCTTTTTTTTTATGACACAAAGACGATGCACAGCTGGATTTGACGTCATTATTTCCGCGACCCTTCAACCCCTGTCGGTCATTTACATTAATGAGTCGCGGCCCTATTCACTGGCAAACAATCTGACCGGTGAGGGACAAGGGAGGACCGAGAGACAACAGGAAGGCGTCTTATTCTCGGTTTAACATGACGTCATGTTTCATTACAATAAATTATAATGAGATGTGCGGAGTGTGTCGGAGGTGCGGGTGAAACAAAAATGAGGCTCTCTTGAGCAATTTGATGTTGTGACGTTGGATGTAATCATGGTGAAAAAAAATAAAGGAAATGAATTCAGTCCCTAAAACTTAAAAATTTTTAGAAATTGAGCGTAGGGGGTCGAATATTTTCAGGCTGAGAAGTAAATAGCAATGAGGGAAACATGGATTTTTTAAGTAGGCGATAAATTTATGAAACTTTGTTTATCAAAAAGAGATAATTCCAGAAAATGTTGAAATTCTGTTCATGAAGAATTGCAAAATATTATCAGAAACTTAGCAAAAAACAGCAATAGAAGAAAATAATACATATACTTGAAAACTCTATTTTTTCATACATTTTTCAGAGCTTTATGCAAGTAACTACGAATATATTTGAAATTTGCCTTGTTTTATAATGTGTCATTTTCTATTATTTTAAGTTACTGTAACAATAGGGAGTACGAAACATTTACCGTAAACTTATAGAATGACCTTTCTTAGAACAAGTTTCTCTTGGTTCTTGGAAAAGATATGAAAAAGTGGTCCACTGACAAAATGGTATTAATAATATGATGAGCGTTTTGTCACTTGACCACGTTTCAATATCTTTTTTGGGTAATGAGATATCTGAGCTCAGAGTTGATAGTTTGGAATGCATTACATCAGAATCTTTAAGTTATTGGAGTTGTGATTTTTTCGGGGTTTATTTTTAAAAAACAGACAGAAGGAAAATATTGTTTTCATTTTACAATAAATGTTATAGCCTTCTGAAGCATTCACAAATCAAACTTTTTGGTAAACTAAGACAACCGTACTTCCTCTAATAGAAGACTACCCACACAGTCGGCTTTGAACTCAATTATCTCGATTCTTATGGAAGGTATTGCAATTTTGCCATCTAATAGATCATTAATCAAAATATTCCTAATAATTCATCAGTTCACAATTATTTGAAATATTTCACAAAAATCCAGATGAAATAATCTCAAAGTTTACGGTTTTGGTAGGCTTCTATTAGAGGGAATACGGCATATTTCTCCAATTTTTCCCTCAAATTTTTCCCTAAAAGCACGTATCAAGTTCTTTTCTTAATCTTTCAACCCACGACCCTTGTTATCTTTTCTTGTATTATCATCATTATTATTTTCAATATAATCAACACAAGTGCAAGCTCAATATATAGGTCAAAAAAATTTGATTAGCCGTTTGTTATTAGTTCATTATCTTGAGCTTGTTATTTTTTACACGAGCTATTTTCATGGGAAGCACATCATGATTTTTTCTATGTACAAGGAAATAGAAATTCCAGAAAATGTGGAGCCTGGATTTGTATACTAATGGAATGAATAATGATACAAAACCGGAAAAATAGCAAAAAATTTAGCCATTTTTTGAACTAAAAATGAGAAATTCACAGAATGTTTTGAAAATTCCTAGTTTTTAAGCTATTTGCCAATTTCTGAAGGACACCGGTTTTAGTGCAAAACTGTACCAAAAAATAGTGTCTTTCAGAAGTGGTCAAAAATGGGAATTTTCAAAGACAGCCTAGCTCCAGACTCTTGAAAACAGTCAACGTCGCTGACAATCAATTGAAAAATTAGCTTCCGTATGTCGTATTGACTGGTATTGTATATTGTCCTTCTAATCAAAGAGGAGAATTTCGACCCCCCCCCCCCCCCCCCTAATACTTTTGTGTGCTACCAGAAAATTCCAAATTCCAGTCAGAATTTGATAAAAAAACGACAACAAAGATTGCTCATCTAGATTTCGTTCATTAATCTTTTTTATGAAAATCCAACGGATATGCGTTCTAAAATCCACAATTTCTAATACAAATCCCGTTTCGCGTTCCCGACAATTTGAGCATGACATTCTCGAAATATAAAAGTCCACGTCACCAAAAAAATCCCCACGCATTTTCTATATAATTTTTTCTGTCGCCGAAAATAATCTTATCAAGGTTATCCAATAAACCTAATAAAATCAGTTGGCCCACTGCCAAGTTTGTACAACCCTATCTTCATTTAACCTATCTTTGCAGGTAATGTCACTACTTGTCAACCGCTACCACATTTGAATCTATTGTACATATTAGTCTTTCAAAACGCCTCCAACGGCGTTCCCAGTGATGTCACCGAATGTGTTACATCGATGGATGGCGATTCTTTTGACCCTTGCCGCAACAAATGTTTACGGAAAAAGAAGAAAACGAAACTGATAAAAAAAACGTAGAGTGAAAAGGCACAAACACGCACATATAAATTTATAATATCACAAGACCAAACTTATTTTTGCTGAAAATATGTTCGGCTGAAATTTCGGGAAACCTGAAACAAACAACTTTGCCCAGGTGTTATTGACTTGCAAACGCGATATTTATATAATCCGTTTTATTAATTTATTAACAAAACCAAAACAAGTGACATGTTCTACTAGTGAGAAATAATACAATTCAATTTCTACTAGTGTACAGTACAATTCAAGTCTATGAGAGTGATGAATGAGTTTTTTCTAACCGGGAAAGAATAAAGGAGGTGAAGAAATGCAGTCTATTTACAGCTAGAAATATAAGAAATGGGGATAGGAGAACACCCTAATCATAGTGACCTGAAGGTTTGTACACTACGTGTCTTTTCTGAGATTTCGAAGTCGATTCAACTTCTATTTACATGTAATCAAAATGGAGTGGACTGTAATTCGGTGAAACTGGTAAAATGATAGAAACATAGAAAAAAAGAAAAGTAAAAAGTTCAGAACTTTCAGAAATGAGTAGGGTATAGGGTCAATTTTTGGCTACCAAATGTTTAGCTAGAGTCTAGCTCTTCAGATCATTGTCGAAATGCGGGTAAGACGAGATGCGATGGGACTTAATAGTGGCGGTAGTTGAACGCCAAGGCTGGTTCGCTGTCCTTTGGTGGGTCCGAGAGTTGGCGGTAGATGTCCACTCGTTGTTGGGCGGACATTGAGGTGTTGATAAAGAGTGGGCGGTCAACGGGTACTCGGTCTGGAAATTTTTCAATGAAAATCGAATTGTGAATTTTTTGGGGATGTTTGGGAATATTTTCTAGGTTTTCTCAGTTTTCTAGGTTTTCTAAGTTTTCTATATTTTCTAGTTTCTCTAGGTTTTCTATACTTTCAAGGCTTTCTAGGTTTTCTAGGCTTTCTAGGCTTTTTAAGTTTTCTCAGCTTTCTAAGTTCCTAAGGCTTTTTAGGCTTTTTAGGCTTTTTAATCTTTTTAGGCTTTTTTGGCTTTTTAGGCTTTTTAGGCTTTTTAGGCTTTCTAGGCTTACTCGGCTTTCTATGTTTTTTAGGCTTTCAGGCTTTCTTGACTTACTAGGCTGTCTAGGCTTTTCAAATTTGCTAGGTCTCGAAAAAATACCTTTGAACAACTTACTATCGCTGGAGAAGGATCCATAGGAGCCATGTCCGTAGCTATTATCTGTGTGTCTATTCAGAGAGGAATTGTGATCCATTTGCTGCATATTGTTACGGTAGTAATCGGTCAACATGTTGTTATCAGTGGTGTTTGCAGCGGTTGCAGTGTTCTGATTGCCTGCAAGATGAAACCGAATTAAGTTGATGGGAGGTTCGGAACGGAAACTTCGAGAAGCAAAAAAAAAGATAAAGATAAGGAATGGGTGGGGGATGCTGTTGTGAATGGGTTAGAATTGATGTATGGACTGAGGGAAATAGAAGGAAAATAGATTCTATCAGAATTGTTTTGTACCTTATCAGAAGTGGGGATCGAAAACTTTGACCTCAGCGAAAAATATGTCGATCGAGAAAAACAACAGCGCCTTCTACTTGAAATCAAATCTTTCTTTTCAAAAATATTTTTTTCATTTTTTCTCCACGTCAATTCCTCTCTACTTTCGAAAACAGACTCTTTCCGAATGTTTGAGCTTCTCATCTAACAGAAACGCGGAAGCTCTATCTCGCAGGCCCTTGTGTGTTTACCATGTTCTTGTCTTTAAATTTTCTGTTGTTTTCTTTCTATTTTTTCTAGAAGAAAGGATTTTTTTGTCTGAGAAAGTGAGTCTCAAATCTGCGGAGCTGTCCAGCACAGAAAGTAGAAAATAGACGGCGTCCGAAAAAAAAGGAAAAAGGAGGCGAAAAAAAAGAAAGAAAAACGAACAGACAAGAAGAAAAAAAGAAGAAAAGAAGAAAATAGAATATAGCACCACCACCATATGCTCAGAGCCATTGCTCCCTTCCTCTCTCTTTCTTTTCTCCTTCAACCCCTTCGTTTTTTTATGCTCTGTCCCACTGGCCAAGGCCGACCGATTCGTCAACCACGCGCTTCATGCACAAATAAGGTCCCTCATCAGCACGCTCGTCGTTTTTTTTTCCGGCCCCTTCTCTTTTTTTTCTCTCCTGCTCGCTCAGTTGGCTTTCAACGAACCCGCATTCGGCCGGTTTCAAAGATCTCGTGGACCGGGAAAAAGGGGAAAAAAGAGATAGAAAAAAGGAAAAAAAGAAAATATTCACAGAATAACAAGCTCCTGAATAGAATCTCATTTGGCTCGGGAGCGAGCGGAAACTCTTTCCAAGGCCACGGTGGGAATGGAAAATGCTGTTTGGCACTGGGGGGAAAACATACATAAGGAGATCAAATCTCAAGAAAATAGAAAAATAGATTGAGCCGGTAAATTCGGTTCAATAGCCAAAGGATTTGGTTCAATTGAAAGAAGGGGAACCAAAAGTTTCTTAGCTTTTGTTTTCATTTTCCTCAGAACCTATCAAAAGAGGAGGCTAAAGCTTGAACACGCTTTCTTGTTCTCAAAATATACTGTTGGGTGGGTAATTGAATGTTTCTCTAAGATATAAGAAATAAAAAAATGTTTTTGAAAGGAATGGAGCAAAACGAAATCAATAAAATAGAATCAAACTATTTTTTTTTCATGACTCTAAAAGTAAAAAAAAACAGAAAAATATCACCTTCATGGCTCATCAACTCCATTTGCTCCACTTATCTAACAGACTGACCTGACTTTCGGAACTTACAAGCGTCTTAAATATACGCCTCGTACATAAATAGAGGTGTTTATTCAACAAAGTGGTTTTTCTAAAATTAAAACAAGTCGGAATATCTAAATCGAGCGAGAGCTGCTAACTGATAGGGCGGAGCCGCCAACGGCAGTGACCACGTTAGGGGCGTGGCTTGGCAAGCGGGAGAGGAGGTGGCAAAAGGTTAGACGATCATGTGCGCGCGCAGGGGGGGGACGCGGCCACGATGCAGAAAGTTTGTTCTTTGATTTATCTTAACAAACAGTTGAGGATAGCGAAAACTGTTTCGCGAAAAAAGCTAAAACTCTAAAACTCTATCGGGAGAGTGGTTTCGGGAGTGGAATGAAGTGTCTTGCAAGCTGAAACTCTCAAAAACCAAATTGATAAGAACGAAATGATATAAGGAAAAATGCAATTGAAGGGTTAACGAAGTTTAAATTGCATGAATCGAGTAGAAAGTTCTCTTACCTGCTGTAACCGATGCGTAATCTGGTGCTCGTGTTGCTATCAACAATTCGGGATTGAGAATCTGGAAGAAAAGCATTGTCTCCGCCTTTATATACAATATGATTTGTTGTTATCACATGTCTGTGTGGTACATAAAGTGATGTCACGATCCTCCATTGATAACGGGAGGGACAATCTGTCTCGTTCGCTTCTTTTTTCCCTTCCGTCCGAATTAGTCATTCTCTCAGGAAACCGTCAAAACATCACGTTTCCGGAATGACCTTGCCACAGAAAAAAAATGGATGGGAAGATAGGAGAGACAGTTTCATTACTTTTTACTACTACAGTCAAATGACCAGTAGGTAATCTTATCAACTTGCCGTCAATCAAAAACTTCTCTTCAATTTCAAATTTTCAATTTTATTAGTTTCCAACTCATCCGATTCCTATCGTTTCATCAATACCATGGCAAAGTGTTTTAACATTTTTTTAGGCCTACTTCTCTCTGGTGGGTGACATATGACTGGTCTCGACCCGACCTTCAGAAAACATTAACGATCGAAGAATGGCGGTAATGTGTGGACATTGCGCCTGTGGCTTGGCAATTTCGTTTTTTCAAAAAATTTTGGGAAGAAAAATGGGACAGTTGAGTACAATCTGAACCTTGACCAGCGATGTACGGTATTTCGCAATATGTTTGCCAATACTATTATTAATAAGGAGGGAGACCACTTGCGGGAACCTTTAGAGAACTTTCGAGAAAAATACAGTAATCTAGGTCAGCTTCCGAAGATTATACTAAATGTCTAGAGGGTCAGCTGACGATATTGTTTTCGAAATAGTTCGTAAGAAGCATAAATTCGAGATCTCATTGATCAGATCTATTGGGAAGGTTATGGGAACGGAGTGGGAAAACAACAGAATATTTAAGTTTTACTCTGAAGGTCATACGTGCCTATGGATCTTTTAGAAATGGATATCTGGATGTCAAAAGATTTTTTTTTTAATTTGAAATTTCATAATCGATTCTGGATGAGTCTTCTATGATTAAATGAGGATTTAAAGTGCTCTCATACAGTATAAAATAAACAAAAAAATTTGAAATGATTTTCGGCTATATTGACTATTTTCAGATGTTTGGAGCTCGACTGTCAAGTTGCCGATCACTTTGAAAACATTTGAGGTTGTAAAACCCATCTGAATCAAAACTTTACATTCGCAGGATTTTTTGGAACTCCTGGTAATTCAGCTATTAACCGATTTCTGAAAGACACCTCTTTCAGTGAAAAACGGGCCGAAAAAGGTGTCTTGTAGATCTTGGCAATTTGCTAAAAATCTAGGACTTTTCAAAGAATCCTGTGAATACAAAGTTTTCAATCTAGGTCTGTTGTACACCCCTTCGAAAATTTTCAAAATAATCAAAAGCTTGACAGCCGGGCTCCAGATTCCTGAAAATGGTGAAAATGGTCAAAAATCGAAATTCCTGAAAATTCAATTTTTGTTAGATTGTTTTGAACTTTGGTTTTTTTTTCTGAAATTGAATAATGTTCAGAAAACAACTTTTAAGATTTAATTCAAAGGTCCATCTCAAAAACTACAGTATTCCAATTATTTTTTCGAATATTCAGAAATTTTTAACTTTCCAATTGAAATTGACCTTGTGAAAATAGTTTCTCGAATATTTTATCAATCGGTACTATCTCTATATTAGAACGATGCCAAAAGTTAAAAGATTTCACTCAAACCTTTGTGTTTCAATTTTTCATCCTAAGTTGGCTCACTGTTTTTTAAAACAACTCACTTTTTGAATATTTATTTTAATCATTTTGTTCTTTCCTACACGGCAAAGATTAAAAACAATGATAAAAACAGCTTATTCTAGCGAATGTGTTCTGCCCTTCACCTGCCCGGGGCTTCTGCTGTTCCGTTTTAATCATCGACACCCCAAGGCTTCCCCTCACTTTCTTTGTTGTGTCTACCCTGTACATTGGCTCACTTTTCCATTAACCGCCACTTGAAACAATGGCCAATGGTTTTCAGCGCCCGCAGCACCGTCACCGGATGCGGAGGCCATGAATTGCGGAAGCACAGGAAGCATACGATGAATATTCGATTCCTGCGAAGGAAAAAAAAACAATTTTTTATGGTTGATTTCATTTCCGATTGAATTACTTTGAATGTCTTCTGGAGTGAAACATCGAGAGCATTGCATATCTTCTTCTCCTTTGAAGTTTGTAATATTCTGAAAAAATGAGAAGGATGATTGATGCTAATGGATTTCCGATGTTTCCGACCTCGTGTTACTAAAAATGTTCTGGAGATTGCAAAAGTTCTTCTCCAAAAGATACTGTAAGGTGATTCGAAGAATGACCGCTAGGAAAACAAGGAAGATTGCTGAGAAAATACAAATCCATATCAGCTGTAGAATCTGTTCATTGTGTATCATCTGAAAAAAATTCCGAGATTTTCTCTTAATTTTTTTTTCGTCAATTAATGAACCCCCAGACAACAGCTGTTTCTAAATGAGTGGGGGCCACACGAGGGCACGACGCAAAAAAAACCCCTCTTTCTCTTCTTTCCTTGATACGTTTTATTGCAATAGAAACAAAACGTGAGAGTGTCAAAGTGGGTGTAACAGCTGTTGAATGGAGATGAGGGATCTTGCAATTGATCTTGGGTAAAAAGTGACAAAAAACCAAAAAAACAATAGAACTCAAAATAAAAATAAAATTCCGAAAATTTTTTTAATGAAGAGGAAATTCTGAGAATTGTGGGAACATTATTTATTATGGGAAATTGGAATTCCATTTTTTCCATAGTTCGGAACATGCTGACAAAAGATTTTAAGGAGATTTCAAAGTTTTATATGTACAGTACCAATCAATAAATACAAAAAAATATTGTTCAATTGCTTTTGAGCAATATTGACCGTTGTCAGAAGTCTGGAGCTTGGCTGTCAAGTTTCCGATCATTTGAAAATTTTGGAGACTGTAAAACAGACTTAAATTAAAAACGAAGTCTTTCAAGGATTCCTAGTTTTTTGCTGTTTGCGGAT